CCAATAAAATATGCTACAACATTTTTTCATAACTAAACCATATTTACCAAAAGTATCTTTAATCATCTTTTGCATTTCATAATCAGGTATTACAAAATTACTTTCCATTTTGTTAAGTATTAATAGAGCTGTATCCTGATGTTTTGGATAATGATACATCATATGTTGAAATTTATTTTCTGGTACGTATCTTCCTTTTGGAAATATATCAAATAATGCCTTGTAACATTCTAAGTCTTTATTTACATCAAATTCATCCATATATTTTAAAGCAGTTGGTATGAATTGTAATTGTGCTTTTCTAGCATGGTCATCCCTTTTATATATACGTATAATTTCCAAAAAAGTTCTTTTTTCTTTTATTTGCACCTTAAAACGATAAGGTATAACGTCGCTATCGGGATTATCTTTATTATATAAAATTTTATTGTTATGAAAATTGTTAACAATTGTCTGTTGTACACTTGCATGTTTTTTAATTACTTGTGATTTATTTAACGAGATGATTATGCTTCTCATTAACATATTCATATTATTAGAGAAAATTTTATAATTTTTAATTTAAATACAATTCCTAAATATACAATTAAATATAAATAAACGTCGTCAGTGATTTTTCTGTATAACTTCCTCTTGAGAATTAATAAATTTTGTAATACAGATATGTAAATATACAAATAACATTCTACATAAATTTATTTTTAGTACTGATTTATCAGTCAGTATTTAATACTAGTACAATTTTATTATATATTTTTCAATAATACATATCTATTGAACAAAAAAATATAAGTGCTTATTGATGAAAGATTTAGCATGTTGATATATAGCCACTACTAACTGGTATTTATTATCAGAGAGAGAATGAGAGCTTATAGTTCCGGGTGTGTACGGATTAGTGCTGCCCCCAACGGCCAAATACTGAAGGTGTTCCACTCTAGCATATACAAGAACCTGCAAAGTTTATAATGTGCCCAGTTCGTTTCCACACTAGCATATATAAGAACCTATTTAGTTCCACCATAAACTTTTATGATGGAATTAAATAGGTCTTGTACATATTATATGTATATATGTACATATATATATTATATATTATATATTATATGTACATATTATATACATAGAGTGAAGGTGAACACCTTCAGAGAACATTGGACTACAATTGTAAACATTCTCGTTTTCTCTTTGCTATTATCTATCCATACTCTAGTGAAATCTTTTAACCATAGTTTGACCAGAGAAGAAATTTCCTCTCTAGTTTAGCATTCTTATAGAAGAAATTGATTGCAAAATTTGTTGAGAACCACTGTTGTAAATGTATTAGAGAAATAATTATATGTGTGGTATTTAATATAATGGAGGATAAATGTTTCAAATTTCAAATTATTGTCATATCACATTATATGTCATTTACCATTAAGGAACAAACGAATTAAAACCAGTGATATTTAAAAATTACTACATAAGTATTAGAATATTTTTAATGAATGATAAACCTGTACTCTGTCAATCTTATTTAATAAATATAATAGGTAAATAATTAAAAACACATACACACAGTATTTTTGCAATAAATTAACGATGTGGCTGATGAATAATATACTAACAGGAAATTATTAAACTTTGCATAATTGCAGACTGTTTTATAGGTTATTAAAGATAATGAATATATATTTTTATATTTAATGGTCCAATGTAAAGGATGATTGCTCATAAGATTGAATATAACATAAAATCTGTAATATAAAAGAAAATGATTTTTGTACAATAAATGTTGATATATTCATTGCATGTATATAGTATATGACCAAACACTATCAAAAAATGAATCCTGTGCTAAAAATATTTTTAACCCATTGTTGGGCAAATATACATTTAATAATTGGGATTAGCATGGGTCTAAGTTTCAGTATGATGTTAATACCAATTAATGTAGATAATTCTAATGGGAACACAGAGTATTCAATGCATTATTTAAATTACCAAGATGACTTGGACGAATATGAACCAAAAATAAATATTAACAGCAAACCTCAACAGGCACAAAAAGTTTCTAAAGCATTAGTACGTCCAAGATATTATTCTACAGAACTTGGAATCAGAGAGAAATTATTCATTGGAGTGATAACAAGTCAACAGTACCTATATAGTAGAGACATAGCAATTAATAAAACTATTGCACACATTGTAGACAAAGTACGATATTTCATTTCTATACCTGAAGGAACAAAGCCTAATGTTACTCTTCCTGGTATAGTTGGATTTACAGATACCAGAAGCATTTTGAAACCATTCCATACTATGAAATATATAATTGATAATTATTTGGAAAATTATGATTACTATTTCTTAATCAAAGATGTAAGCTACATCAATGTTAAAAAATTAGTAAAATTCGTTACCAAGATTAGTGTAAGTCAAAATGTTCATGTGGGGGTTCTTGGAGACACTCCAACTTATTGTTCCTTGGGTAAACTTAGCATGTTTAAATATTGTTTGTTCATTTATTCACATGTATAGTTTTTTTCCTTTAATATTTCACTAATAATAAATTTTTTCTAATTTTCAGATTCAGGAATTCTTCTGAGTAATTCAATAATACAAGAATTAAAGAACAATTTGGATTGGTGTGTAAAAAATGCTTATTCTGATTCGGATGATGTCAATTTTGGACGATGTATTGTTCATTCTACCTCGACACCTTGCTCTAATCACATACAAGGTCAGAAATTTTGGCATACCAAATTGAAACCAACATTTTTATTTGAGATGAATCTGAAGGAATTAGTTAGAAATAAAGAATTTCTAAGTTCACTTGTAATATATCCAATATATGACCACCTTCTTGCCTACAAATTGAACACTTATTTTGCAGCAGTGAGTGTGTTGAATGTATTAAAAATTAATTCAGTTGTAATCTACATTTTATACAGATTTTTAATGATTTTAGACAAAGTCCGTGGAAATTCAAGAAAAGATTTCCAATATTCGGAAATCGATTTTAAATATGGCAATTTTAGGGCCTCCACAAGAACGCAATGTTTCATGGCCAATTGGTAATCAACCAGGAAATAAAGCTATTGGTCGTTTTGATATTTTACGATGGTCATATTTTAATCAAACTCACATATTTCTAAATACTGATTTTTCAACTGTACAAGAATTAAAAACCGATGCTAAATTTGACATAGATCGAACGATTAATATTACAGCTTCTAGTATAATCGCTGATTATCAATATACATTCAAATTTAATAAATTATTGAATGGATATCAAAAGTTCGATGCATCTCGAGGAATGAATTACATATTAGACTTGGAGTTTACCAATGTTAATACTGGTAAAATATTGAGGAAGAGGGTTGAAGTGTGCAAACCGCTTGGAAAAGTTGAGATCTTGCCTGTTCCGTATGTAACAGAAAACACGAGAATAAATATAATACTAACCATAAATCCATCAAAGAAACGGGATGCGCTGAACTTTTTGGAGCATTATGCTATAGACTGTATGGAAAAAAAGTACAAAACCTTCCTTATGATGGTTAATATTTCTTTTGAGCTAATTTTTTAAAATCTCTTTTATGTATTTTTTAACCTTGTTTATTTATATGTAGGTCCTTTTATATAATTTTGACTCTGCATCTAAAGGAAGGGCAGATATATACTATGAGATTAAACAATATGCACTATCATTGGCTGATAAATATAAGAAACAACAGTCAAAAATTACCTGGCTTTCTGTACGCTTACCGAATATTGTAACGACCATTGAAACAAATCAGTTGCTGAACATAGCTATTGCAGATTTATGTATAAGAAAATTTTCACCCGAAAGTTTAATACTTCTCGTCGAAACTGGAATACAACTTCGGCTGGATTATTTAAATAGGGTATGTGTATTATTAGTACTAACAAAAATCTCGTATATACAAATTAATTAAAAATTTAATATTTAGATCCGTATGAATACCATAAACCAATACCAAGTATTCAGTCCAATTCCTTTCATGGAATACCATCCTGATATAGCTCATATGAACGATATAAAACAAGTTGACACGGATATTAATCGCAATCATGGAAGATACGACGAATATAATTTCAATAATATCGCCTTTTATGTTAGAGACTATAACACCAGTATGTATATTTTCCTATTTATATGTATATTTTTGTATTATTAGTTTCATATAATATATTACATTTTCTTGCAGTGAGAAAAACCACTGAGGCTAGCATCCCAATAATACACTCCGATCGAGATATTTCATCGATGCTAAATCTTTCACAGAATATTCCCGATACTTCTTTATACGAGATGTTTGTTTCTTTCAGTAACCTACATATATTACGCGCAATAGAACCAGCTCTCAAAGTAAGGTATAAAAATGTTGATTGCTTTGATACAACTGATAATATCAGCAATTTCTGTACACGGTCGAAGAATCATCATTTAGGACGGCGTAGTCAACTTGCTAGATTAATACTAGACTATGAAACTTATAAAAATAGTTTACTAAGATAAATTGTAAGGGAAGTATTACCAAATAATACTACTATTTTGTTTGATATAAAGGATATTAAAATGTTCTACATGTTATGCATGTAAATAAAATTCATATTATAATGAATACTTTATTAAATTTATACATTTTATTTAAATAAATAAGTTCGTAAACAATACAAGCGTTCAATTCTTTTGTTTTTCGTAACGCATCACATAATTTTATATTTATAAAGAGGTTGTAAGAGAAAATCAATAAGATGTGCTATGCATGACATTTAGATATTTACAACTATTTAAAAAAACACAAATAATCAAATTGAAAACTATAGAATCGAAAAAAAATAGCCAGTTTCCTAAAAATTACATAAAATATTTTGGCAAGATTTCCAGCTTTAAATTATATAAGAAAGTAAAGATCATATAATTACACTAAATACTGGTCAGTAGTAATTGTACAATCCCTAATACCTTATAAATAAACGTACATATGTTACCATTTGTATTCATTACATTTTTTTCATATATTTACTGCACAAGAAGCAAAAGGTTTTTGTTTCATATATACCATAACTTATTGTAATACATACAGAATATGTGGAGTATGCTGTCAGATTCACTAGACACATATCCTGTGTGTGATATGGAATACAATTGAATTTTTCTATTTTTTTTTAATCCTTCAATATATAACAGCAAATAAAGCGTTGTAAAAATAGAGAATTTTTTGGCGGAGAGACCTTTAGGAAATCTTCTATTGCCCTTGGAAAATATTCCGGTAGAAACGCGTTTATCGATATAAATATATTATAATTTGAACATATATTACCCTTAATCACTCAGATTCTGATTCTGATAATTGTAAATCATCATTTAGGAGATTATTTGGCATAAGAAGTGGAGGAGATGGAGTTGTACTATTTAAATCTCCTAAAAAGAAATATGTACAATGTAAAATAGATCAAAAAAGGAAATTTGCTTATATTCAAAAAGAAAAATTGTAAAAATAGTCATATTGAAAGCATACCATTAAGTTCTGTCGAAGCTGGAACATCTTCAGTGTCTGAATCACTATCTTCTGAACTATCTGAACTTGAACTACTCGAAGTACTATCACTCAGAGCACCTATATCATTATCTATAATGACAGAAGCTTTCATATTGGGTTGAGTATTAGTTATGGATGATGATCTTAAAGGTGCAGTAGAATTGATAGTCGGGAATGTTCCAGATGATGTTAAAGGGCAGTCATCATTATCAGAACCAATCATTGGTAAGCTGGCTAAAGTAGACGGTGCCACTGAAGATTGCATTGGCGAACTAAAGTTCCGTGTTTTTAGTAAGATTACAAAAAAATCTGAATATATTACTGTGACATTATTACATAATCAAGCTTTCAAAAACTTATTTTACATTCTTTAACACATTGACTGCCACGCGTGTTTTCAATGAAATCTCCTTCAGGCTATGCGCACAGCAGTACCAAGCGTTCTCTGCTGTACTCTCATCGATATTTTAGTAATGCAAGTCGCTCAAGTGGTGGTCTCAAGAATGATCTCTTGCTTTGTTTGTTCGCAACATTAAAACCACTAGCTGTTGTTGAATATAATGAAGGAAAGTGTGGTATATATTATTCCGAACAAATGGTTTCTTATGCTACCACAATTAGAAAAGGAATCAAATGGTACCAAAAACTAGGCATTCAATTCCTTCTGGGAATTTCTGTTGTAAACGCTTTGACGGTTTACAAAATTGCAACAAGGAAGGATATAAATATTAGAATATTTAGAGAATTATTAGCTGTAAAATTATTAGGGTTGTCTGAAAATACAAAAAATCCTTGACTTCGACTTCGAAAGGCACAAAAGAATTTGAAGAATACAACAACTTATTGTCCAAATTGTCCCAACCAACTTCAGTTATGTATAGAATGCTTTAAAGTTTTACATTCTAAATAATTTTTTTAATAAACCATTTTCGTATTACTTTTATAACAATTCAACAGTTCTATTATTTCCTCTGGAATATCTTTCCAAATACCTACAACGATCCTTTGCAAGTAGTCAAATAAGCGCCACTCGAATACGGGTGTCGTGGCAGTCAACGTGTTAAAAAGAATCACAAATTTCATTTTTTTCATCAAAGTTGATATTTATATTTGTACTTAAAAATATCAAAAAACGTTTTATACCTATTAATTGAGGTAGAAGGTGGACTTTTGCTGTGATATGGTGATACTCTAAGAGGACTATATTGTTTTGGATGTAACTGAACGCTAGGTTCCCTTTTTTTCCCACTTATAACCTTTGTTCTTCCAGTTGCCCTACCATGAGTAGGGCTCTTTTTGTTTTCTACTGGAGTTATAGGTCTATTACTACTATTTCCCCCAGAAACTCCTAAATGTATCTGAGACTTTGGTTCTGTTCTAAAAGATGATATAACACATTATGATCTAATATATTAGTTTGTCCGAAAAGTATCTTTCTTTTATAAACATGTCTTTTACAACAATGCATCTTTATACAAACATGAAACCTAATCTGTTAAACATTGTGATCTTTATTTTGATAGAACAAAATGGATCATATGTAATTCGATAAAATAATATAAACGGAAAATGTTGTGCAGCCATTATTTCCCTATAAAATGAAAGAAACTTTTTGGATGACCTAATATCTTGTAAAAAAATTACATACCGAGTTTTCTTCACTTGAATATTTGCTGTTAATTTTTCTAGTGTAATTTCACCTGTGACATTATCTATTATCAAAACACATTCTTTGTGATAAGGTTTCTGAGAACCCTTGAAAACGGTGTGTGGAATTCCAGCACCATCTAAATGTGGAACAGTAACTGTCATCATGTTGTTTGTTCCAACATCGACTCTTGCCACCTTGGAAACATCAACACTTGCTGGTTTAAAATCATCTGAATAAAAAAACGCGTTAATGTTTCTATTATTAGCTACAAATCAATTATATTTTCAATATTATTAACCACAGATATTTCTTGCAGTATGTAAAAACACGAAAGAAAATTATAGTCAAAATATTTATGGATATGTAGATTATAAATGAAAAAAATGTACTGACTAACATTTCAAAGTGTGAAAGGCCGTTGATCTGTTACTGGTAAAAGTTGATCCCAGTTTGAGTTCTCGAATCTCAGGACCCAGACCAAGCCGCTCTGCCATGTCACGCCCGATACCTTGGAAGTTTGTTTCCGGAACAGATGTGACTGATTTCATTGGGTACGATTTTATTAATCTCCCTTTCGATAATATGAATAAAACAAGTGCTGAAGGCACACGGAATTTACGGCCGACTGAGATTAACTATTGCACGTTTTATTCGTTATCCTGCCAAAATATGGCAGAGACGCGCATTTGCATTTCAGTTTGGTAACAGCTGTGTAAACTCTTGCTTCGTTTTATCCTGTTACGATTAATTTGCTTGCACGTTCGTTCCTTCTGTCATTTGTAAGCAAAATAATTATCATTACAAATCCGAACAATTCATATGGTAAAGAAAAATCAAGCGAAAATACCACAATTCACTACAACACGATTCACTGACCTAGTTCGTCTGAGTATCTGCGTTCATCAATATCCGCATTTACTGCATTAATTTATTTAATAATTACTAAAACACGCGTTACATCATTGATTTCGAATTCTCGAATTCAAAGACTTGAATTCTCAACAACAGCATTGTAGCAAAGATTTGCAGAATCAACCGAAAATTAACTTTCCACTGTATTATAGGAATTTAAGTATTATCATAGAATCTATATTAAATATAGATAGGCTACAAACTAAAATGTCTGACGGATGTGACGTATGAAAGGAGAAGTATTGTGTATATCGGCATTTTATTAACATTTTTTGAGAATGTATAAAATTTAAAGAATTTTAAACAAACCATATGTCTTTTAAAATATTTTATTCAGGAATGAAATTTGTTATTAACATTACAAATTTACATATACTTTATTAATACTAGTAACTTTACAATATTCATATACCACGATCATAAACTTCTACTATAGGCTAGGGGAGCCTATATATATTTTCGGGGAGCATTGATTTGAGCATAAATCCGCAAAATTGTATGAAATTCAAAATTCAAATATCAATTTAATTTTTGTTTTTATTGTCGATTGCGCTTATGTGATTACAACCAATCATCAATGCGGCCTCAAAGTACCATATTTTCCGCTCCCCGCTCTACATTCATTCGCTTAGGGATATTTTGTAATTCTAGGGAATTTACCGCATCGCACAATACTTATGAATCCAAAAGGCGTAGATATAAATGTTTATTTATTTTCAGACATATATATATATACATAATACAAAAAGTAATATTATACATTCAATAAAATGTATTATTTATACTTCATTTAAAGTGAAAACCATGAAAATTTCTACAAAACAGAGAGAATATTGGGTCAAATCAGTACTTGGAATATCATAATAATAACAAAATTCATCAATAAAAAATCTTTCGAATATATAGGAGATAATTAAACTAATAACATTGTAATTACTATTTCTCAAACCAACCAACATAATCATTAGCAATTGGAGAGTAATAGTTACATTCAAGAACAACTGATGCCTTCGTATTTGGTTTTCTTTTCGCCTTGGTTGTAGATGAAAAAATATTGGCAAAATGCTCAAAGAAAATATTGTGAGCCAAACTCTTTCAGTAATCCTATATCCTTGTAAGATACCAGCAGTGAATAATGCCATTGATATAACATCAACGATCATAGAGTACCAATTGTAGAAGATTCTTAAATACTTTGCTACACTGGTTGCTGATGTAAAAAATGGAGCTCCTGGAAACAATATTGCTAAAGATAATATGCTCTATACCACACATACATATTATGAATGCTACTATTCACTATGTTTTATAGCGTGAACTAGTTGTTTTTAAACATCGAAGTTGTAAATGTTTTTCTAGATTTAATGTTCTTAGAACTATTATGAAAAAGTCAATTTTTCTGACTGTTTACCTACGTTCATATCAGTTTCCAGAAGTTTAGAGGAAAACACAAAAAAGATGTAAAAAGTAACAATTTTTAATTTTTGAATATGATATATAAATGAATAATCAATAATTTTGTTACAGATATAAAAGTAAATGCACAGTTGGAACTTGTGAGAAATAATGTAATTAATGGATACTTTTAGCTCTTAAGAAAAATAAAAATTTCATTATCTATTTCATTTTCTACTTCATGAAATTTCTATGAAACAATTAATATTTAAATAATATTGTATATTTCAAACCAAAACTAATTGATAATCACTATTTGAATTAGAGAATAAAAGTTTGTTATAAGTGAGAAAAAGTTTAAATTTTATCCATATTATTTATACTTCTTTAAATTGTTACAAAAATTTATATAATATCAGGATAAAAGCTATAGTACATAATTGAATTTCATTATTATGTAAGTAATAAATATAGAAAAGCAACGCTATTTATAATACGCTAAAAACGCAGTATTTATAATACTGTAATAAGCAAAATTAAGAAATTATAAGCATGCGAAACATAAATAAAGTTATTATCTATCTACCATACTAATTCTCATAATGTTCAACTATATACATACTTATGCAAACTATGTGGCAACTAGAAGGATATATTATAGGATACTATGTATCTATTATAGGATGACATTTTTTAGGATCACTCTTTATGTTTTACATTTTGCTTAAAAACAAGTGCATTGAATTATGTTATTATTTCCCACCTGTTCCAACAAAGTTGAAATTTTGATAAAATGATAAACTGAGAGTAATGTTTCTTCTTTTGGAGCTTTACACTTAAAAATTAAGTACAATACCCTTATGTAGTTTCATACCAACTAATCCTCTGCATGACCCCCACTAACATATAAGACGTACTTTTAGGGGGCCCTGTACAGATAACACTGCTTTAAAAATATACTAGGCAAATATCAAGATGCAAAATATAGGCAATTATTAGAAGATACATTCTTACCAAACCTGAGTAATCCCAATATGGAGTGTGAAAGTAGAATTTGAAAGGCATGAAATGACCAGGTGCTTGTTTTATCATACTTATTACTGAAAGTTCTTATGCAAGCAACTGTCACGAAGAATTTCGCTAAATGTGCTAGGATGCTGCTTGGACAGATCATAGCTACCTTTTATTCACAGACACTGTACTTTCTGGCTTAATTAATTTAAGATCGCGTAATACGTTAAAGTTGACGAAAACTTACATGCGATCAAAATTAAAATACGTCGTTACGAACAAATATCTTTACGTTTTATTGACAAGGTAAACATTAATTCTTTTAGAATTTGTTTGATATTTGAATGAGGTTATGTATTCTTGGATCTGTAATGATCAAACTTTATCTCTTGACGATTGATCTACATCCTACATTACGCGAGTTATATTTATGTTTCTGAATTTGCTCAACTTTATTAAAACACGATCCTCAGCATAGATAGCAGCACGAACATCGTATTCTCTTTAGATAGCTCAATATACACGTGTACATATATGTAGGTATCTTGTTTGTGTCTCCAAATGGTTTTGCCACATATTTTAATTATCACAATATATCTGAAATTTAATAGATTCAGTACATTTAATTTAATAATTTAATTAAAAATTTGGATTGATTAGAAATTCGTCTTTTCAAATATTCTATTCAATTTTCAATATAAAATCTATGCAAAAATATGATTGAAAATTGATGACTCTATCCTTGAGGGTTGATAAAGAAAAGTATCATACTCGTAACTCATGAAAGTAAGTATTAGTATAATGACATTTAAGCTTATATATATATGTATATTTTAACAATTTACAAATGACATATAAAAACATTATGCACATTTTACATATAACGTGAATAAAAAATGAGAATCATAAATATGATTAGAGGAATATCAGTGCAAATAGCTATAATTATACTTGCGTATGAAGGGAAGTATCAAGGATTGAATTGGCAAGCAACTGTTGGCGTTGGATCAAGAAGTTTTTTAAGCAAACGCAAGGAAAGAGGTTTTTGCACAAAAAAAAGAAAGAGGAAGGATATGCTAGAGGTCAACGTCTTTCCTTCGTTCAGAACGACAATATGACTAATAAGAATGAGTACATCACTGATACGTGTTGTCACTTCTACTAAAAATTTTGCAGCAGTACTGCAGTATTTTTACCCTTGACAACTTGCCGTGTAATCGCGCTAAACGTTCGTGCGCGGACGACGTGAAATCATTACACTACTCTAAACCTTATGCGAACTTAATACTATTAAAAATTTTAATTTTATTGTTTATACCAATGATTTACAAATAAGGCATTTTTAATGAATCGCAAAGATGTAATTCATTTAATCCATTTTTTTTTATTTTTTGACATTCCAAATGAGAAACGTTGATTTCGTATACAACATATTTTTGTGTATGTGTGAACAAAATCATCCAAATATAATTTAATTTCCTTAATTTATTAAATTTCTTATTTTTTCATTTCTTATAAATTTCTTACATATCTCGTAAAAGTACACGATAATGATTAAAAATGATATTTATAAATTATAACTGTTAATATTTGAGTTTAAACGGTACATACTTCATTTATGAATCCGTATCTATTATTAAGTAAGTGCTGCCATCTATCGAGTGAAGATTCGAAGGTATTTGTCAGATCAAAATCGCTCTTATGACAAATACTAATTGACAAAGTTGCTAATCGAGTTTTACACATATATCAAAATGATTGTACACACAAATTCTAATATCTTAAGTGTATATTATTCCCATAAAAGCTATCTATTCACATATGTGATACTTTTGTTTAATTAAATAATCACATTTTTCGGCAATCGGTCTTATGGAATACACAAATTTCTAAAATTTACGAAAAATAAATACGTAGTACCAGTAATAATTCTTATTTAATATATGACATTTAGTATTAAACGAAGATTTATTTTAGCTGTGTTAATGTATGTGTTTATTTTGGAATTAAAGAATGATCGATGTGATAGTAAAAATCTCATTTACAAATAGCTATATTTATCTTTTGAATTACAAAAAAGTAGCAATATTATTTAACAAGTACTACTTTTTAGTGCAGTGCATTAATAGGAGGATTAATCCTAATAATCGTCATGATGTTCCTAGCACAATTTTCCAATGTGATTTTATTATCACTCTTTGGCAAACAACGTCACGAACCGTATGATGATGTATTTTGTCAAACGTTTTTACACGATAACGAAACCTTTACATCAACAGGATGGTTACACCTTGAAACAACGAGATAGCCTCTCGTATTCTCCTATGTTTACAGGATATTTTCTTATAATTAGATAACCATTCTCCCTTCCCCTGCACGCCTATGCAGGTAACTACTAAAAATAGAATTTTGCGATATTTTTACACTGGACGCTAGAAATGCTATTTTAAAATGTAACCGCATAACTCCTTGTGAAATGAACTATGATTTAATTTATAAACCGATATTGAGAAAAATTATCGCGATTTATTACGATTTTCGACAAGGGAAAGATAGAAAGGATTCTCTTCTACAAACATTGTATAAGAAAATAAACTCTTTTAACGACTTTCATTTTTCTTATGTAATGACTTTCCGATTACCTTAAATTCCTGATATTTTCTGACTTTAATTTTCTCCTTATTTGCAGTGCTATTGCAAGATTTTAATTACATTCTATGTATTCAGAGTCATATTTCCTCGTTTTGTTAGAGATCAGTCATTACCTAACGATCAAAATTACAACGCTGTTGCAACGAGGTTACGCGACGGAAGGAACGGGGATATTACCGATCTTGTTTTCCGTTTGCCAATGTCAACGATGCGTATCTATGTATTTGGGTTTTCTCCTTTTGCGTATACTTTATTGTTCATCACGATGCATTACTTAATACACCGTAATTACATTACACAAAGTCGAAAGAAAAAAAAGAGAAACAGCCCTTCGTATTATAATCCATTATTTCAATTTTATTACTAAAAAAAAATTCTAACGAATATTGTTAAATTCCTCGAGAAAAGTTTTCTTATGAAATATTTATGCAACACAATCGAAATTCTCCGAATAACTTTACATCCTAACCTTTTATATGCTTACGTTCGTTACCAGTGAATTGCGGATATTAAAATTGTTAAATGTTCGGTAATTTGCATATTCGGTTATTATATATATACGTATATCCGTACGTATATCCGTACGTATGTATAGCAGTATACGAGAATATTCGAACGCTCCTAGAAAATTTTTATGCATATATTATATAAAATATTTTGAAATCCCATTAGCACTGTAACGAGATAGAGCTATTGTTAAAGAAACGGATCTGAAAACATATACGTGTATGTATGTAGAAGTTAGAAGACATTTATTGGAAGCATACCCCTCACAAAAATTACCGAAGTACTTGTACAGCCTATTATTGAATATATTAATAAGTCACAGTATGTATTGAGATCATTTTTGGCACTAATTGTATGCTCAAGACTAGATATTATTTGTAGCGTATACTAATGTTTTACTAAGAGTATATTTGCAATAAACGTCTTGTAACTTTTATATATGTTTTCAGATTGATTTCAAATTTTATTAGTATAATCACGATAGTCGTTACAGTGCAAACGAAATTTTAACAAATTTTGTATATTGCACGTAATATACTCATAGAAAAAAATCTCTGATAAGCTTCCGAATAGTTTTGCGAGTTGCTATATGTACGACGTATGCAAGTTACTTACGTAGGATCGAAATCAAAGATACACAAGAAGCTAGTTATTAATAAAATTTGCAATTTAGACGATAATTTAGGCCTTTGACCATGGACGAGGAGGTAGAATTGCAGAATACGAAGTTCTGGAACATTTTAAAGCGTTTAAATTCATCGAGCTTGAGAAAGTTTGGCAAAAAAGTTTATTATCATATTCTAAAACGACCTACACACACTGAAACATGTTGTGCACATCGATTCCTAGATTTCACGAAATCGCGTTAGAATTTAGCCTTGCGCATCAGCTAGGATGGTATATCGATTTACGCATCGATGTAAGCCATTTCCAAATCGATACGTCGATGCGAGTTTACACTAACCTGCATCATAAAACCTAGCAGTCGATGCGTGCAGTGCAATACCTATGTTCCAGCGTATGCTAGGTCGCTTTACCGCGATTATCAAATTAGCAGGAAAGGTCTGTTTTAAATTTCGTATTTTTTCTATCTCAAAATACAAATACAGGCGATTTTAGCAAAATTAATGTTGACTTCTAACGAGATATAATTTATTGTATCTATTATACGATATAACAGGTTGGTAGTTTTAGCGTTAAAGAACTTTATATTTTTCAACTTCGCGTTCCAAGTGCATCGTCGTACTTTCGCCATAATACAAGATAGGAATGTCACGTGGTAGAGCTCCTGGAATCTAGAGATAATCTCATGTTGGAAAAAGAATTATTCCGGTATCGTTCTTACCCTTTACGTTTCCGTATAATATGATGACGACAGTGAGATTGCACGATTGATTGATTTCTAGATATCACAAATACGAATGATGTCACATTTTATCTTACGAAGCTTAGCGATCTAGATGACGACCACTTTCATTGGCCAAGATAACAGAACTAATTTTTATTTCGCAAAAGTGGGTAATATACGCGTAATGTGGAGATATGGAAATTATCAGTTTGTTCCAGAGGCGAACTGATTATCGGGAAATTTGGAAAAATTTCCAGTAAGGATAGTGATAAGAGTAAACTGGTTACTAGTTACTTTTAAGGTATTTGTAGCGCGAGTTAGTACGCGGAGTTAGTACATAAATACCAGGCAAGACTTCTTCAGGGAGTGTAAAACAAGTCTTCAAACAGTTCATCATACAGTCATACTCTTCGTGTTATACCAAACAGTGGAAATAAATACACTAAACATCACATTACTCTGCATCTTTAATCTACCTCCACCTTGAGCGTTAATAGCGTTCACGGTTCGCGATATCAACCGATCAGTTGCATCCCGACTAATCGCTAATTAGTTGAGAATTCGCATTACGTACGCTAACAGTTCAGAAATGGACAGAACGTTAACTTTATGTTATAACGTATACCGCAAGTAGAACGCTGAAATTACCGATATTTAACATTTTAACAACTTCGTGAGAATGGCTTTTCCATGATTAATGAAAAAATCAATTTCGCAGCGGCTTACTATAGCAGCTACATGTTAAAACTTTTAACTTTGAAGATGAATATCTCCATTTCGGTAAGGCTAGGCTTTCTGACCAATCAATCATGTATAGATAATATACTAAATATTATATTATATTATCAATAATATATTAAAATATTTCAAAGAAATTACAAGAAAGTCAGTCTATGGTATAAAATCTTAAATAACCGAAAATCGTTTCATCAACAGCCATTTTACCGACGTTATCTTTCGCTGACAATTATTATACCCATGTTATCGCGCTGAAACTGTTAAAAAGATTTTTGGATATGTTACGGAGTTCAACGTTTTTCCATCAACTCGCCAACCAATTTTTTCTATATAAAGACTGACCTCGTTTAGTTTCCAAAATATTCGCGGCAAACTACCGCTACTGCATTATTGAATTCTGCCTATAGTTGTGCGTCTGTGGCAACGTATACATTAGCAAGCGTGTGCAGCGTACACGATAGTAAGTAATCGGTCATTCTACGATCCTTCTATAGTTTCGCCGTTATCGTTAATTATGCATCTTTATCTGCATATTCGTTTGCATAAAAAAATAAAATGGAATGATAAAAGTTGCTTTAGCTAACTGTTATTTTATTAATCAATACAAATTAAAGAAAGATAGACATTTACAAAGAAACAGTTACCCCCAATCTCGATAATTTTTTAATAAATACCTTCTCAAAATCGCCATTCTGAATTGTGTTCTAAAGGTCTTAATAGGGTGTCCGTATAGTAAATTAAATGCGTGGACGAGTGGAGAACAGCTCTGCGTCACTACTTACATCCCCACCTCTTC